CAGTCACTATGTGTTGATCTAAAAATTCATACGCTTAAATTCACCTTCATCCCTGCCGACTGACGCCAATTCAGTCGGGTTTCGATCTAGCTAGAGGCAACCGGACGCGTAGCCACACTAATGAGCTGTGATACAGCAGAAACAGTCCGTTTCTGGATGACAATATATATATATATATATATATATATATATATATATATATATATATATATATATATATATTTCCTTCATTCTTTCTTTGTTTCTTTCTATTTCCTTGCTTATCTCTCCCCCTCTCTGTCTCTGTCTCTGTCTCTCTCTCTCTCTCTCTCTCTCTCTATATATATATATATATATATAATTGTTAAATTTTGTTGATATTTTGTTCACAATTATGTATTAACAAGATCGTTCCTTAACTTTTGTCCAGTAGCTTATTTCCTTTGTTCCATTTAATCTTTATTTAAAAAAAAAACTATTATGTAATAGATTATGTATAAAAAAACTATTATGTAATATATTTGTATAATATTCATACATTACACCCTAATCTTTATTCAGTAAAAATTTCATTGCTAATCATGCATTACTTTTTAAGTAATACACATATTTATGTCTTTGTTGTTTCCGTTCCTTATATTATGGCCGCAACTATATATATATATATATATATATATTTGATGTTCTTGTCCTAAAAATAAACTAAGTATTTCTAAAGAATTAATGGATTTTATTTTTAGTGACTACCCATGTTTGAGTAGACAGTGCCTTTGTTTAAACAGTATAAAACTTTTGGCCCAAAGATTTCTGCTTAGCACAATACAGACTGTAACGTCGATCAAAAATGTTAAGCAAGTTGAGCATACTCAGTCCATCAACGGGTAGCCCTAAACGTAACACTTAACTCTAAACTTAACCCTAAACTTAACGCTACCGCTATCTCTAACCCTAACCTTAACGCTAAACCCTAACCCTAAACCCTAAACCTCACCCTAACCCTAAACCCTAAAGCTAAACCCCAAACCCTAACACTAACCCTAAACCCTAACCCTAACTCAAAATCCTAACCCAAAACCCTAAACATAAAATTTAACCCTAACTTTAACTCACAACCCTAACCTTAAACCCTAACCCTGACACATAAACCTAACCCTAAACTCTAAACTTAACTCTACTACTAAACCCTAACTTTAAACACTAACCTTAAACCCTAACCTTAACGCTAAACCCTAACCCTAAACGCTAAACCTAACCCTAACCCTAAACCCTAAAGCTAAACCCCAAACCCTAACACTAACCCTAAACCCTAACCCTAACTCAAAATCCTAACCCAAAACCCTAAACATAAACTTTAACCCTAACTCTAACTCACAACCCTAACCTTAAACCCCAACTGTAAACCCTAACCCTGACACATAAACCTAAACCTAACCCTAAACTCTAAACCTAATTCTACTACTAAACCCTAACCTTAAACACTAACCTTAAACCCAAACCTTAACGCTAAACCCTAACCCTAAACCCTAAACCTAACCCTAACCCTAAACCCTAAAGCTAAACCCCAAAACCTAACACTAACCCTAAACCCTAACCCTAACTCAAAATCCTAACCCAAAACCCTAAACATAAACTTTAACCCTAACTCTAACTCACAACCCTAACCTTAAACCCTAACCGTAAACCCTAACCCTGACACATAAACCTAAACCTAACCCTAAACTCTAAACCTAATTCTACTACTAAACCCTAACCATAAACACTAACCTTAAACCCAAACCTTAACGCTAAACCCTAACCCTAAACCCTAAACCTAACCCTAACCCTAACCCTAAACCCTAAAGCTAAACCCCAAACCCTAACACTAACCCTAAACCCTAACCCTAACTCAAAATCCTAACCCAAAACCCTAAACATAAACTTTAACCCTAACTCTAACTCACAACCCTAACCTTAAACTCTAACCGTAAACCCTAACCGTAAACTAAACCTAAACCTAAACCTAAACTCTAACCCTAACTCTACTACTAAACCCTAACCTTAAACACTATCCCTAAACCCTAACCTTAACGCTAAACCCAAAACCTAAACCCTAAACCTAACCCTAACCCTAAAGCTAAACCCCAAACCCTAACACTAAACCCTAACCCTAACTCAAAATCCTAACCCTAAACCCTAAACATAAACTTTAACCCTAATTCTAACTCACAACCCTAACCTTAAACCCTAACCCTAAACCCTGACCCTAACCCATCATCAGATAACCAGTTGTGAATATCAGCTGCTGTAATCTTGTATACGCGCGTAGTGTAATCGATAACGACACAGAATTGTTAATCGGAGAAATGATTCCTGTTCGGTCCTTTTATATTCATTTACTGTAAATACTCTTGGGAAAGATATGAATCCATGTCTTCTCCCCGAGCTATGGGTTAATTACTAAGACTTGTATCACTTAAAGTACCATCAGCCTTTATTCAGTTAGCTTATTTTGCGCCGATGTTGTCACCACTTCCCCATAATTGTGTTTGGAGTACTCTCTCGTAACTTTCTTCAGTAGTCAACTATTTCAAACAGAAAATCAAATCAGCAGGTAGTTTTCAAATACCGTACGGTGGTTTTGTTTTCACGTGGCCATCATGCCCCCAGGAAAAGCGTGAACCCACCTCTTTTCACACCTGGATTTAATAGCAATGTAGACTTTGTACTACTTAGACAATTTCTTGCCGGAACGACCACGGTATGTAATATTTCAAACACTTTATTCACACGTTGTTCACGGTTGGTATCGCCACAGATTCACTAAACATACCAGATTGAAAAAATTCTTCTAACTGGATAAAAACTTTGAGCTTTGTATTGGGTGATTTAAAATTTTACCCGAAAACAGTAGTGACTGCTGGGTCAATGAATGCCAAATATTTCTTTGTAGGTTAGATTTTTCATTGCTATTCTTTCTAACCCTTTTTACCTAAAATATCTATGTCTCGAGCCCTGTATTGGGGGATTTAAAATTTGTTATATCGGAATAAAGTATCACCCACACTTGATTTTGAACATAGATCGTCAGTGAGCAAACACAGGCGATCCCATAATTGAAATAATTAGATCACTTGACCATAGAGAAATGCATAAGTAGGAAGTCGCGTGACGTCTAAATGATCGCTATTTCTCTTCTATCCTCTATTACTATACGGACCGACATTCTCTTCTCTATTCACTATACTATTTTTTATACCATAATACCTATTCTATTGTAATGGACTCTCCCACAGATAATAAGTAGTAGTAGCAGTGGCCAGTTGGGCTCAGTGGTGTTGAGCGAGTCAGTCGATATCGGACATTGAAGTATCAACCATCAACTAGATTGCTGCGTCATTAACTCTTATTTCAAGTTCCTAACGTTTTGTACGTCGAACCTAATTTAGGACGATTTATTGAAATACAAGACTCCACTGTGAAAATTACTCTACAACACTATTCCTCTATTCGGATCAGTACACGGGTTACTTTTCGAACGAATATTATCAAGCAAGTACTATTTGTGAGTGCGATATTCGAATGTGTCTGGCACTAGTACTGTTCAACGGCGTTACTATATTTGTATCTGCGATTACAAGGTCTCTACTACAATAAACATTACAAAAGTGACAACGAGTATTCGTTAACATTACAAAAGCATCAAACGGGTGCTCGTTGACATCACAAGAAAATTTCAACCGAAAATATTAATGACTTCTGGGTCAATGAATGCCAAATGTTTCATTGTAGGTCATTACAATTTCCAGTGCCATTCTTTCTAATTCTTAATACATTAACTCTCTATATTGAGAGGCTCTCGTGTCTTGTGTTAGGTGATTTTGAATGTTAGAAGAGTAAATACAAAAAAGTGTAATTAGTGATTTCCCACCAACGACGAATATTTGTGAAACCTGAATAAAAAAACTGAAATAATAAATATGGGAGCATAAAATTTAATTTTTTTTTGGGGGGGGGGGGTGCTTTGAGATAAAGGTTCGAAATTTCATTTACTCGTAGCTCAGGATATCTGGGATTACGTCAAATGGTGTTTACAAGCTCGCTAAGATGAAAAGGAAAATATTTACTACAACTTTAAACATTTCTCGCCTGTTGTTGATATAATCCGTGATCTTACGAGAAGGAAGTATAAGGAAATACGTCAAACACCTAATTCTTTCCTGTTAGCTTCAACGCGACATAACCATTTCACCCCAAGTATGACAATAAAGCCACTGAAATGCTGTTTTACGACATTGTATTTTGCTAACTAATTGCATCGTGTACCCCCATCGGTGCTGAAAAAAAAAACAAAAAAAAAACAAAAAAAAAAAACGTGGGACGAAAAGATTAATGAAATCCTCAAGTCGATTTGGCGAGATTTATCTTTCCTTAGTAAAAAGAAATTTGGCCTTGTGGCCCACACAAGAGCCAACGAAGAGAGAATAATTTAGTTAGGTTGGGGTTACTGAGTGTGAAAGAATATGAGAGAAAGTGAGACATTATTAAAGAGAGGGAAAAATAAAA